CTGGTATCTGGAGGAGGTGTCACTTAACTCAAGTATTTTTAGGCAGAGTAACGCTGAGCACATCAGGAAAGCAATGACAAAGCAGGATTACGGCTCTGTGCTGCATACAAATTTAATGGTAGATATTGGAAGGTATGAGAATTCTTATAATGCTGCATACATAAGCTTCATGCTGAAATAATGCTCATAATAAATTGCAACCATTCTGCTCAGCCCAGGAATTCAGAAAAAAAAAAATTTTGATGGCTGTGAAAGCTTGGACAGCGTCTCTTGCACAAAAATGCAAGACAGTGGTTAAGGCAAGACCGGATTGTGGTGACAAGTCTGCTACAAAAAAATAAAAATAAATAAAACAACAACTCTCCACTATAGCTGCAACCCATTAAGGCATAGAGAAAGTGGAGCTTGCAGCACCCAATACCAGACCCATTCCATAAAATAAGAGCGACAGTTCCTTTAAAAGGAAAATTGTTGGCAGAGACTTGACACTTATCACATGCATCTATCCAAACGAAGAAAGCAAGAGAGAAAGGCTAAGCTAGTAGGCAAGGAAACTACATATAAATTTCATCTGAGCTAGGAACTTGAGAAGACAAAAGACTAAATATACATTTCAAGCAAAATTTGTAAAAGGTGCACTAAATACAGGGAAGATGTCCTGCACATGAAACACATCCTCAAATTTCTCAAAACAGGCATCCAATGTCTATGGTGTTACCAATGTCTCAATCATTCAATGACTGGAGTTTTATAAAAAGACCAGCACCTTGTACAGGCAATTGCAAATTTGCCCCATTGTTAAACAAATACCCAAAGACAGGTCCAGTAACCAGTGCCTTTAGGTATCCTGTTTAGCCACTCAAGACCCATCACATTTAATTACCAAGCTAGTCAGTAGCTGCAAGAAATACAAGTCTTCACACCTGGACAAATCCAAAAACAGGAAGGGGGCAATTTAACAATTGTAATGTGATGGTTCCCCTTTTCTTCCCTGTTTTGTTCAGACTTTAATCAACCAACCAGCAAGGAAAAATGCTTTGAAGCTATACAATTAAAACAGTATAAAAAGCAAGACAGAACTGCCAGCAAGGTGTATTATTATGGGGAAACATAATAATCTGCAGGCAGGCAGATCAGGGGCTTGCCAGCACCCCTGGGAGGGCTGCCAGGACTGTGCTGGAGTCCTCCTGGAGGTGCGAGCCCCTGATCTGCCTGCCAGACAAGTGAAGCCAGGTGCTGCCGCCTGAGATCGGTGCCAGAAAGATCAGTGCTGCCACTGGTCCCAGGTGGCAGCACTCATCTCCTGTCACCCGGCAGGCCGACTGGTAGACTGAACCCCGGGGAGGACTCCAGCACAGCCCGCGCAGCTCTCTCAAGGGTGCTGGCAGGCCCCCGATCTGACTGCCTGCTGACAGGAGACAGGTGCTGCCTCCTGGGGCCAGCGGCACGGAGCTGAGGCAGATCAGCTGGTGTGGGGACCCTTCCCTGCCCCGGGATCAGGGTGGCGGGTCCCCACACCAGCTGATCTGTCCTGGGCCTCTCACCCTCCTTCAGCTGGCTCCAGTACAGAGCCGGGGCAGATCAGCTGGTGTGGGGGCCCTCCCTAGCTCCAGGATCAGGGCGGCGGGTCCCCACATTACCTGATCTGCCCTGGCCCCATACTGGAACTGGCTGGAGGAGGGTGCAGGGCCCAGGGCAGATCAGCAGGTGTGGAGACCCTCCCCTGCCCCGGGATCAGGGCAACAGGTTCCCACACCTCCTGATCTGCCCCAGCCCCATATCCGAGTCAGCTGGATGAGGCCCAGTGCGGGGGGAGGAGGGGAGGGAGTGTGGCACAGCCCCGGGGCTGCACTCTGCCCCCTGCACTGGGCTCGGGTCTCAGCAGCCTGCAGCCCCTTTCAACTCAGCCCGGTGGCAGGAGGTGGAGCGCAGCCCCAGCTCTGCCCACCTCCCACTACCAGGCTGAGCTCCATGGGGCTGGCAGAGCCCATCAGAGCACAGCCTGGCGGCGGGAGGCAGGGAGAGCCAGGGCTGCGCTCTCTGCTGGGCTGAACCACATGGGGCTGCGGAGTGTAGCCCTGGCTTTCCCCTGCCTCACACTACCTGGCTGCTGCTTCAAAATTTGAAATGTTTCAAAATGTTTCGACTGGCCTCGTTTCGTTTCAAGGCTGTTTCGAAGTCCTCTGTTTCATTTCAATTTCACTGTTCTGAGCTCAAAGCAATTCAAAACAGAGTCAAAATGAAACAGCCGGTGAAATTTCACACAGCCCTATAAGATAGTACTGTCCCTGAAAGTACTCTCCTATGCTGGCGTAATTTACCACGATTAAACACATGTGTAGGTGATGACCACGGGTGTATGTTGTGCACTAGCTGGGGGATAGACTTCTGCCTGTTGCCTAGCCCCACAGCTCCACACTTTCAGCACGCTCATGCTCCAGCTAGCCTCTCTGCCACCCAATCTCACCATCCTAAGCCTGGGGCTGATATCCGGACTCCCCCCGCTGCACCCCTCCCGCCACGCCCCTTGCCAGCCTGGGCCTACTTCACCTCAGCTCAAACTGCTAATCTGCACCAGCTCAAATTCCTGCTGCCCCAGGCCCAGGAGTAGTTTACTCTCACTCAGACTGCCCCAGCATTTATTGCTTCACACCAACTACACATGTGGACACAGCCAAATTAATCCCGCTTCTAATTTGTTTTATAAAAATAGAAAAGCACATGTAAACACATTCTACCTCTTCGTAGTTTAATTTTTTTTAATTACTAATTAGTCACTTCTGCCACAAGAGTTGTAGAGCCTTATATTAAAATATTTTTTTAAGTACTGACCAGGAATACATTAAATTCCAAGCAATAAATGCAACATAAAAAGATATACAATTCCTAATCCAGAATTCTGAAGAAATTCAATGCATGGGGGACTACATTCAGGGATTCTTTAGCATCTTACCTGGGGTTAGTGAGATTGTAACAGGATTTCCAAATCTGTAGCATGTGTTTACAGGTAAGAAGTGCTTCATCTGGGCCTCTACACAGGGATTCCAGTTTGACTTTTGTAAACAATAATCTAATAGAAAGGAGGATATTAGAAAAAAAAAAAAAAAAAAATCACACAAAAAAAAAAATCAAGCAAAAACCATTATACTTAATTTGAGAGAACTAACACTGATTTGAAAACAAACAGCGAGAACTTCCAATGCCTATACATATAGAAAAACATTGGAGGAGAAACTGAATTGTTAACTTTATATTGCCAAACACTGGAACGGTAGGATTTGACTATTTTTGTCCACATACCACCTTACATGGTCACAAACACCTCATGCACAAAGAGATCGTTTTAATATGAGCTCTGCTGGTAGAGTAATTGATGGTATGATACAAATTTGCTGTTGTGCTTCTCATTTTCTGGTAGAGAAGATGCACGTAGTAAATTAGATGATCTTCACCAAAGTTTGGATTAATGGAGATCTTGTTCTGACACAGAAGACCTTCTTCAGTCAAACTGTATATACACTTGTTCTCACAGGTTCTTAATACATTCATAAAATTAAAAGTCTCCCTACAGTAACAAAGCCATTATTTTGATCCCAAAGAACACCGTTTACATTCTAAGGTTACATTCTAAAGACATAGATGTCAACATGTGGGAGCTGTGTGGGACAAAATGATACACTACTATAAACTTGTCTTCAGGAACTGTTTCTTATTCTTGATAAAAAGTCTGGGTCATTTTTTGTGATCTACAACTCAAGGTTGAAATACTTGACAGCAGAATATATTTTCTTGTAATATGCTCCATCATCAGATCAATCTTGGGAAACCAGTACCTTCAGTGGTAAAATTTGATAGTTATTCTTCATAGGGTAGTAACTATGATGGTTAAATGAGTCAGAAACTAGTAGTATTCTCATCTTAATAACACTATGTATTAATATAATATTTTGATGGCAGCCATAACCTCTTTTGTTGGCTATAAGCAACAAAGCAGGCACATTCATCTACAGCTGGGGTCAGCAACCTACAGCTCAGAGAGATTTGATCTGGCCCACCAAAATACCATGTGGCCCACGGCAACATTCTGCAGAGGGGAGACCCACTGGCAAAGGAAGCAGCAGCCTTAGGGACAAACTACATTAATCTGACCTGCTGTCAGTAAAGAACATTGCCAACCCTTGATCTACAGAAGTTTTGAAAACAGGATATTATTTAGAAGTTAACAATATACAATGATGTTGAATAAAACCAAAAGGGAAAGTGAAAAGGGCTACTTGTTTTTGAAAAGACATGAAAGTACTTTCGCACGGACAGTGTACCTATTACTTTTATTTACTCTTCCACGCCACGCATCATGAGCACCAATAAGTGACAATTCTAAAAGCTGAGCTGTAACTCATTCTGGTAAGAAGAACAATTACACAAGTCTATATGCAATACCTAGTTGTAACAATGAACAGTACATAAAAAAAAAAAAAAAAATTCTTTAACTACTAGGGAAAAAATCAAATGGCCATGTTAGAAAGGACACCATCAGAGTAAAGATGCTAGCCTTGGGGTGAAGGGGGAGGGAATATTAAGAGTAACAAGGAAAACCTTGCTCCAATTCACATTATGTTGCCAAGAACGGAGACACTGAATTTGAGTTTGTATTTCAATTTAAAACTGTAAGCGAATTCAAAATGGCACCTTTAACAACTTGAGAACAGTGCATGAATCATCACGGATCATTACCTATATACAGTAGTATCTATAATGAGCCATTACAAATGAATCCTATTTCAAAGCTGAACTAATAACTGCAAAACATATCAAGTACTTATGTCTTGGCTTCTCCATTCTTCAGACAGACCCATTAGTAAATTCTTCTGCAGAGAAAGTAAATGGGATAAACTTCCTGGATAATTTAAAACAGTCAGTTATTTTCAACCTTTTTAGGCTCGAGACACCCCTCAGAAAATGCCATCTCTTAGTTTTCAATCTTTTTTTGACTAGAGAAAAACTAATAGAGCAATTTTTCTGTGGCAAACAAACCACAACAGAGTAGAATGCTTGTGACACTATGGATTCCTATTTGAAATCTGGAGTCTATTGTGTGAATCATGTTTGGGTGTTGGCACACCTAAGCAGTGATAATACTGTATGCCATCCCTAAAAAGATCTCACAAAACCCTGGTTGAAAATTATTAGTTTAAAAGATAAGATCTTAGTTTAATGGTGTTGATCAATGGGGTCCAACCTTTATCTCAGGTATGCCACAAGTTCACCTTGCACTCTCCCTGAGTGCCACTGATGCTCTTCCTCTGTCCCATCTCTTGGCCTACTTCCTGCCCTACATGCTGTTGACCCCTTCCTGATGTGCCATATGTCACCCACAGCAGCTGCCTGTGCCACAGGTTTGCCACTGCTGGTGTAAACATTGCCAGAAGTTCCAAACACCTGGAAAGAGGTTGTGTAAGTATAACCATATTTACTCTAATGCAAGACAAGGTTTTCATCTCCCATTTAATGCAAGGAAAAGAAGCCTCTGTCTCATATTAGAGTACAAGTAAAGGGTAAAAGGGAAGGGCACAAGCAGTTCCTGCCATTCTAACCCCGCCCCTGACCTGGGATCAGTCAGAGCCACAACAGTCACCTGCACCTCCAGCATTTGCCTTTTCCCCCCATCCACTTACCCACTGCAGCACTGGCTATACTCTGGCGCAATTAGGGGGAGGGGACAGCAGGCTGCAGGCATGGGGCAGCAAGGGGGAGGTACAAACCTAACCCCAAATGGTTAGATTCTACACTTAGAAAATGATAACAAATTTATAATTTCCCATGTATACCATCTAATTATGGGAGTGTGGGGGTCTACCAAGTTCAACTTGTCTTAGATTCAGGTAAATACCATAAATTAGAAATTAAATCTCAGATTTAATCAGTTACACTGCTACATATAATGATAGGAAGCAGGAAAGAATACAAATAAAGCGACTATCATAACATTAAAATGGAAGGACCAAAGTCCCTTAATTCAATTACTAACTTAGTTGCCCCAAGTTACAAATTAATGCGTGGCAGTCAAGGAGGGGAGATGGATTTGCAATTTTTTTTACCCTGAATACAGGCTTCAAAGTTGCAAACACCAGCTGCAAACCATCAAAAGTTCTTTCCCCCAAGGTTGAATGGCTCAAGAGGACAGAATAACTAAAGCTTTAGAAATGTTTACTGAGACCCAGATTGAGGAAACCAGCTACAGTCCTCACTGGATGAATTATTGATTGAGTTTCAGGGAAGAGGGACCTGTAGATCTAAGCAAGGTATAGGTAAATGAGGTGGCATATGTATTTTATAAAAGTATCTTATGGCACCACAGAGTGGCATAACATTCTAGGTGAAAAAAGCACTGGTCTTTTCTGTTAGTGGAAAGAGATAGTTAAAAGAAATGGAGAGAGAAGGAAGAATAGAAGCACCCAGGAAAATGTGAAAAAAACATTTAGAAGGTAAAAGGTAGGACTACTTTAACTGCTCCTTTACACACTGTCCCAAGATGCAATGCCGGATGCAATGCATCTGAGGGTGCTGAGGAAACTGACTGATGTGACTGCAGAGCTGCTAGCCATTATCTTTGAAAAATCATGGCAAATGGTGGAGGTCCCGGATAACTGGAAAAGGGCAAATATTGTGCCCATTTTTAAGAAAGAGAAGAAGGAGGATACAGGGAACTACAGACTGGTCAGCTTTACCTCAATCCCCAGAAAAATCATGAAGCAGGTCCTCAAAGAATCCATTTCAAAGCACTTGGAGAAGAAAGTAATCAGGAACAGTCAGCATGGATTCACCAAGGGCAAGTCATGCCTGACCAACTGGATTGCCTTCCATGATGAGATAACTGGCTCCGTGAATGCCGGGAAAGCAGTAAACGTAATATACCTTGACTTTAGTAAGGCTTTTGATACCATCCTACACCATTCCTGCAAGCAAGCTGAGGTAGTATGGGTTGGATGAATGGATTTTAAGGTACACAGAAAGCTGGCTGGATTGTCAGGCTCAATGGGTAGTAATCAAGGGCTCAATGTCTAGCTAGCAGCCAGTACGAAGTAGAGTTCCCAAGGGGTTGGTCCTGGGGCCAGTTTTGTTCAATATCTTCATTAATGATCTGGAAATGGGCTGGATTGCACCCTCAGCAAGGCTGTAGATGACACCAAGCTGGGTAGTGTAGTAGATACACTGGAGAGTAGGGCTATGATTCAGAGTGACCTAGACAAATTTGTGGACTGGGCCAAAAGGAATCTCATGTGGTTCAACAAGGACAAATGCTAAGTCCTGCACTTAGGATGAAACAATCCCAGGCACCGCTACAGCCTGGGGACCGACTGGCTAAGCAGCAACTCTGCAGAAAAGGACCTGGGGGTTACAGTAGACTACAAATTGGATATGGGTCAGTAGTTTGTCCTTGTTGCCAAGAAGGCTAACAGCATACTGGGCTGCATTCATAGTGTTGCCAGCAGATCAAGGGGAGTAATCATTCTGTTCTACTCTGCACTGGTGAGGCCACATCTGGAGTACTCTGTCCAGTTTTGGGTCTCCCACTATAGAAGGGATGTGGACAAGTTGAAGAGAGTCCAGTGGAAAGCAATGGAAATGGTTCGGCAGCTGGGGCACGTGACTTCTGAGAAGAGGCTGAGGGAACTGGGCTTATTTAGTCTAGAGAAGATAAAACTGAGGCAGCATTTAATAGCAGCCTTTAGCTACCTGAAGGGTGGTTCCAAAGAGGATGGAGCTGGACTGTTCTCAGTGGTGACAGATAACAGAACAAGGACCAATGATCCTTGTTTAGAGAGGTTTAAGTTAGATATTAGGAAACTCTCTCACTAGGAGGGCGGTGAAGCACTGAAACAGATTACCTATGCAGGTGGTGGAATCTCCATCCTTGGAGGTTTTTAAGGCCTGGCTTGACAAAGCCTTGGCTGGAATGATCTAGTTGGGGATGGTCCTGCTTTGAGCACGAGGTTGGACTAGATGACCTCCTGAGGTCTTTTCCAACTCTAATTTTCTATGATTCTAAGATATCCTTTGAGCAATGCT